CTGCTCCCTCTACTCGGTCCTTTCCTTGGCCTATTAGTTGTTTGCTTACTGGGACCTGTTATATTTAATAGGCTCACGACATTCCTCAAACAACAAATTGACTCACTAACTATGTGGCCCATACAGGTCCACTATACTAAATTAGAGATGGAAGACCAACATCCCTACACTGATCTTGCCTGAGGCGCTGAATTTGTTAGCCAAAGACAGGTAAGAGAGTCTGATGAACCCAATAACTGTTCAGTCCTTCCACCTAAGACAGGAGGCCCATCATAGCTATGGGACTCTCCAATGACGGGTAAGGGTGGATGTATGGTTCCATAAACGGCTCCAAACTAAGAAAGGCACGATTCCCCCAGACCTTTTCCTCATCTCTCAAATTACAACAAAAAAGGAGGACATGTGGGAAACTGCACATCAGTGAGTCCGAGAGGCCATTTTCATGAGTCTCTTACTATCGCCATCTTAGGTCTCAGAAAGCAAATAATTACACAATGCCAAAAGCCACGATTGGTTACCTTATGATTGGCATATAGAGCAGCCAATCACTGCTCACCAACGTGTATATAACCATTATCCCTGGCCCACAATAAATGGACGATCCTGAAGAGCAGTAACAATGTGTCGTCTCCATGCTGTTTGTCCCGTCTCTCACTCCTTCCCTCAGGAAACCTGTTCGACTGTCCCGTGGGCCAGGACACATGTCAGCTGAAGCAAGGCAAGGAATTGCCCCCCCACATAAATTGCCTGCTACAGGCTGGCATTCTTAAACCCTACCACTCTAGTTGGAACACTCCATTATTCCCAGTAAGGAAACCAGGAGGAAACGATTTCAGGCCTGTTTGGGATTTACAACAAGTTAACAAGAGAATCCAAGATATCCACCCCACAGTTCCCAACCCATATACCCTTTTGAGCCATCTACCCCTACTCATGTTTAGTATACAACACTAGATTTAAAAGATGCTTTCTTTAGGATAGCCTAGGCACCTGTCAGCCAGCCAATCTTTGCTTTTGAATGGCAAGAAGAGGGGCCCTCAGGGACCCCTAAACAGCTAACATGGACAAGACTCCTGCAGGGGTCAAAAGCTCCCCTACTTTGTTTAATGAGGCCTTAAATCAGGACTTATGTTCTTTTCATCAAAGCCATGGCTCTGTGACCCTTTTACAGTATGTTGATGACCTTCTTTTAGCCCCTCCGTCTGAAGCGGAATGTAGAAAAGCCACAGAGGACCTTTTGCAGGAATTGGGCTCACTGGGCTATCATGCTAGTGCAAAAAAGGCCCAAGTTTGTAAAGAAACTGTTACATACTTGGGATACAAGCTCAACAAAGGAACAAGATGACTGACAGAAGCCATGAAAGAGATTATCTTGAGACTGCCGGTCCCTACTACAACCAGGGAAGTTCGAGAATTCCTAGGCACTGTGGGCTACTGCCAGCTCTGGATATGGGGTTTTGCAGAATTAGCCAAACCCTTGTATGAGGCCACTAAGGAAAAAATGCCCTGGACATGGGGACCTGAACAGCAACTTGCCTTTGAGAAACTCAGGACCTCCCTATTGGAAGCTCCGACATTAGCCTTGCCGGATCCCCCCAAGCCCTTCACCCTCCATGTAGCTGAAAAAGGGGGAATTGCAAAAGGGGTGCTCATGCAGCATCTAGGGCCTTGCAAATGCCCAGTTGCCTACTTGTCAAAGAGACTGGATCCTGTAGCAGCAGGGTGACCCCCATGCTTGTGCATTATAGCTGCTGTAGCAATGCTGGTCAGAGACACTGACAAGCTGACATTCAGGCAACACCTTAAAGTGATAACTTCCCATGCTGTTGAGGGTATCCTCAAACATCCACCAGGGCGATGGATGTCCAATGCACGATTGACTCATTAACAAGGACTACTCCTAGATACTTCTTGAGTTACTTTTTCAGAGCCCACCTCTTTGAATCTGGCCACATTGCTGCCTAACCCAGATTTGGACAAACCGGTGCATGATTGCCAAGAAATTCTAGCAGAGATCTTCCATGTACAGCATGATCTCCAAGACTTAGCCCTGCCGAACAGCTAGGTAATCTGGCACGCCAATGGGAGTAGCTTTATGCAGGATGGAATACATAAGGCTGGGGCAGCAATAGTGGACCAGGGCAGAAACTTAATTTGGAGCACCTCCCTGCTGACGGGAACTTCCATCCAGAAGGCTGAACTCATTGCACTAGCCGAAGCACTTGAATGAGCAGAAGGAAAGTGTGCTACCATTTACACCAATAGCAGGTACGCTTTTGGGACTGTCCATATCCACAGTGCAATTTATCGGGAGAGGGGCTTTGTTACCGAGGATGGAGGAAAAGTGCACAATCTTCCCAAAATCCAGTGGCTGTTGGCAACAGTGCAAAAACCCTGAGCAATAGCAATAGTGCACATTCTGGGCCACCAACCCACCAAGACCCCTGAAGCAATTGGCAATAAGTGAGCCAATGAGGCAGCAAAACAAGCTGCCAAGGAGGAAAAAAAAAACCCCCCCACTATATCTGTAGCTCCCACCCTAACTCTTACCCTGCCAATGCCAGAACTCCCAGGTCTACCTACATGTCCAGATTACTCCTCAGGAGACCAGGAATGGATGCAAAGAAACAATTGCATGCCGCCTGACCCTACAGGCTGGCAAAAAGACACAGAAAATTGTCTAATCCTGCTGGGGAGGCTGAGACTCTTATATCGCAGATTTCCATTTGGCTACCCATCTCGGTGTAAGAAAACTGCTTCAGCTCCTGCAGTCAGGAAATTGATTTCACAGAGGTAAAACCAGGAAAATATGGATATAAATATCTCCTGGTTATGGTGGATCCCTTCTCAGGGTGGGTAGAAGCTTTCCCAACAAAACAAGAAATGACTCAAGTAGTTGCTAAAACCCTATTAGAGGAAATTATACTTCAGTATGGAGTTCCCAAGACACTCAGCTCAGATAATGGCCTGGCTTTCATTAGTAGAGTCCTACAGGGACTAGCCCAGGCTGTGGGAACTGACTGGAAATTACATCGTGAATACAACCACCAGAGTTCTGGGCAAGTAGAAAGAATAAATCTAACTCTAAAGGTGACTTTGTCTAAATTAGCCCTTGAGACTGGCAGAGACTGAGTGACCCTCCTGCCTTTTGCCCTGTTCCAGGTTCATAACTCCCCTTATGTCCATGGAGTAACCAGATTTGAAATCATGTATGGGGCACCACCCCATATATGCACTCATACACTTCCAACTCTAATGCCTGAAGAAACTATTGATCATAGAACCAGCTTCCAGGCCCTTCACTGGACACAAGAAGTAATTTGGCCTTTAGTCCAAGCACTCCATGAGGCTAAGGACTCCTCAAACTCAGAACACGGTATAGTCCCAGGAGATTGGGTCTGGGTAAAAAGACACAGGACATGCACTTTGGAACCTACATGGAAAGGACCTTATATGACTCTTTTGGTTACTCCTACTGCTTTAAAGGTTGACTAAATTGGGCCATGGATTCACCATTGACAAGTGCGTTGGGCCTCAGCACCTGAATACACACAAGCTGAAAATGAGTGGATCATGCGCCAACACTGCACAATCCTCTGAAACTCCGATTGTCTAGATCTTCAGATAAGTCCATGTTCCTTCCTCGACATGATGATGATGGAGATACTAGCCGTAAGCCTGTTCATTAGTTGGGGCACCACAACGAACCTACATCAGCCTTGTAAACAGACGTGGGTGCTCACGGATGGAGAGACTGGTAACATTTTAAATTAAACTTCTTGCACCAGTCCATTAAGTACCTGGTGGCCAGACCTTTATTTTGACTTAAGAGACCTTTTTGAAAAGACTCATACTAAGAAATCTTATCATATCTTAATGAAAAGGACATTGACACTTGGGAACCAAATCAAGGGGTTCTAGGCCTGTCCAGGTAATCAGAGAACCAACTATCATACTTGCAGGGAGGTCTAGAGTTTCTATTGTAAAGCCTGGTTTTGCGTCACCTCCAGTGATGGTACCCATAAATGGAACACGGGTCGCAACTCTGATCTTGTATACTTCTCTTTCCAGGAATTAGGTAATAGAGTCCCTTTGGTTAAAGCTCGTTTTACAAATAACAGTAAAAGCCAACCCTTATTAGTATGACAAAATCCTGGCTTTACCTGGGGATTCCAATATTATTCAGGTGGTACTGTCTGGATAGGACTATATCCAGGTGGTCTCCTGACAATTAGATTGTCTATAGAACCCCTGACACAATCTGTAAGCCCTAATGAAGTTCTACACATATCTCCTTCAAAGCTAAGAATCCTACCTACACGTATGACAACCAGGTCACCCCCTTCACAAACCTCAAGTACAACCTCCCATGCCTTTCTTCCTGAGGAACTGTTCCCCACTATGAAATCCCCGACCTTGGTACTTGACCCACTCCTTGTCCTCATTCAAGCTGCCTTCCTAGCCCTCAATCAGTATAATCCCAATATAACTTCCCCTTGTTGGCTATGTTATGATGTTTACCCTCCCTTCTATGAAGGCGTAGGGCTTGATGCCCCCTATAACCTCTCCACATCAGACTCTCCTCCCACGTGCCAGTGTACAGACCGTAAAGTGGGTATAACTATACAAGTAAGTGGCCAAGGACTCTGTCTAGGAATAGTCCCCTCATATGACAGAGGTTTATGTATCACCATTCTCAGCAATATCTCCTGAGACACGAATAATAAATGGGTGCTGCCCCCATGAGGTGGTTGGTGGATTTGCTCACAAATTGGACTTACCCCATGTCTTTCTCTCTTAGTCTTTGATGCAGCCCAAGAATATTGTGTTTTAATTGCAGTTCTTTCTTGAATCATATATAACCCTGAGGAAGTCATGTTCCTACACTGGAATTCGCTTGAGCCACTTCACACCAAGTGAGAGCCCTTCACCGTCCTGACTATTGCCACTTTGTTTAGCCTAGGATTAGCTGGGGCTGGAACAGGCATAGCCTCCCTTACCATCCAGGCTACAGAGCTTCAGTCTTTACAACTAGCAATTGATGAAGACTTAGAGAGAATTGAGGCTGCTATTAGCCATTTAGAAAAGTCTCTGACCTCTCTCTCTGAAGTTGTATTATAGAATAGAAGGGGATTAGACCTCCTTTTCCTACAACAGGAAGGCCTCTGTGTAACTCTAGGTGAAGAATGCTGTTTTTATGCTGATCACTCCAGAGTAGTCCGAGACTCTATGTCTAAGGTCAGAGAAGGTCTAGCAAAAAGAAAGAGAGAGTGAGAAGCTAATGAAAGCTGGTTTAAAGCTTGGTTTAATACATCCCCTTGGAATGACAACCCTGATCTCCACCATATTAGGTCCCCTGCTTATTTTACTTCTTCTACTCACCTTTGGCCCATGCATGATAAATAAACTAGTACAATTTATAAGAGACTGTTTCAACATTGTGCAAGCTATGGTTCTGACACAAAGTTATGCCCAACTTTAATGACAAAAGTACTATTCTATAAATCTTTAACCAGATGCTTCTCTGCTTCTGTAAATCACTTGGCAATATCAATGAGAATGATTCCTCATTATGTACAACTCAAGGGGGGAATGTTAGGCCGAGTTAGCATAATCACTGCCATGTTAGGGCTTCAAAGACAGAGCCCGCTATGTTAGGGCTTCAAGGACAGAGCCCGAGGAGTCTGGGAACTCATAGATAAGCAGAGAATGGGTGGGCCCAGTGGGGCCAAGACAAGGTCAACCTGACTCTTAACTGACAGTCCTTACCTAGATTTAAGCAGGTGATGACAGCTGGACTCTCACTTCCCATACCCCTTCCTTTGTGTGCTGCATACTATGGAAAATCCTGAGCTATAAAAGATCCTTTTATCTTAGGTTCAGAGTCCTTGTTGAAAACCTGCTGCATCAGGCAGAAACTCGGACCCCAGCTAGCTGGAAAAAAAATAAAAGCCTCTTATGCAATTGCATTGTTGGTGTCTTCTCTGCATTACCATCAATTAGATCAATCTCTGGACCCTAACAATGTGACTTAAAATCTTTTACAAATAAGTTGACTTCAAATATGGTAAAAGAAAAAGTTTAAGAAGTGAAGCTCTTCATGATTTTCAACATATATTTTGTCCAGGGTTTTATTGATCAGGCAACATTCTGTTTAATTTAATATGGTTGGTTTAATGAAACAGCTGATATTTATATGCTATATATGATATGTTACATGGTGGATATCTGACCAACAGGATAAATGGATTAATGACTAGCTTTTAATATTTTGTTACTCATAGGTAATCAGGATATAATGGTTAAATAAAAGTTTTAAGTGCTGCTTGATAAAACTGATTTTCATTTTTAAATTTATTATTATTATTATTATTTATACACTAAATTGCTATACATCATTTAGACTGTAAGAGTCTTTACCCAGCATGATATACACCTCAGTCCAGCCCAGTTGAGAATACTTTGAGAATACTATACATATCCTCATCAACAGGTAATAAACCATATCTGTGTTTCACAAATATCTTACCCCTCTATTTTTTCCCACAAATTTCATATCCTACTCTCTTCACCTCCTACACACTCCCACCACTTCTACTTTATCTCTAGTGTTCATAAGAATTTTTAATGTTTTTATGTCCTCCAGTATTTTAGTCCCTATCATAGATTGCAGACAGTCGATATATGTTAAGTGGATACGTACAATATCTTTTCATAGCCTGATTTGATTCACTCAGCAACAAATCTTCCATATTCGTCCACTTTCTATCAAATCTCAGGACCTTGTTTTTATGGCTGAATAATACTTCATGGAGTATATGTGCCACACTTTTTCAATCCATTCATCTGTTTGTGGACATTTGGGTTGGTTCCATGTCTTAGTAATCATAAATAGTGCTGCAATAAATATAGTTGTGCAAGTGGTTTTCTAACTGAGCGGACTCTTATCTTTTGGGTAGATACCTAGGAATGGAATTGCTGGATCATATGATAGTTCTCTTTGAAAGTCTTTGAGAAACATCCATATTGTTCTCCACAGAGACTGGACAAATTTACATTCCCACCAACAATGTAGAAATGTTCCTCTTTCACTACATCCCCTACAGCACTTATCTTTTTATTTATTCTTTGCCATTCTGACTAGGGGTAGGTGGTATCTCCTTGTGGTTTTAATCTGCATCTCCCTTATGATGATGTATGTTGAGTATTTTTTCATATGCCTTTTGGGTGTTCATATGTCTTTTTTTTTTTTT